GAGAGACGCAGTGCGGAGCTGGCCGAAGTTCGACGGGAGTACGACACACTGATCTTCAGACGGAGGACTTCACAAGCTGATGGAGTTGGGGCTGGGGATGCTGGAGTTCAAGCACCAGTGCCACCACCACCACCACCGGTTGAATCGCCAGTGATCGGCACTGAGCAGAGCACTGCACGGAGTGCTGATAGGCACTCCTCACACAATAGTCCGCTGGGATCCTCCTCCTCCTCCTCCTCATCCTCTCGATACTCTCCCTACAGCACTCCTCGCCATTCAGAGAATGCTTCCTCAAACCGGAAGGAGGCAGTCCGTCCGGCCACTGAGCCCATCCACCGGGCTCAATCAAGGTACAGCAGTAGTAGTAGCAGCCGGCACTCCTCGAGCACTCCAATCAGGCACCACCACTCTCACCACCACCACCACCACCAGCACCGAAATCGTCTTTTCGACTAGCTTTTTCATTCCGTTTGTTGTTACTGTCACCCTCACTTACTTCTCTTAGCCTGCCTCGACTACTAATAATAATAATTGAGACCGCATTTAATTCCTCCTATCGATTAAAGCTGTGTCTGTGCTGGTGTACGTCAGCCAGCGAGCACTACCAGAAGCACTATACTGCAGAAGCAGCAGCACTACTGTCTAATGGCACCGATGATTATAGATATTACACAGGGCAATAATAATAACCGTTAGGGCAGCCATCACTGCTAATGACGACAGTCAGAGGACATGACATTGCAGTGGATGGGAGAATGAATGAAAGAAAGAGAGTGCCAGTGTCGACAGGGCAAGACACACACAATGGTGTGATGCTCACTGGTAGTGAGTGAGCGAGTGTTCCCGGAGTGTCCCCTCTTCCCTTTCTCCCCAGTTCCGAACTGCTTCTCACTGGCGAGCGATCGTGCAGCAGCCCTCCACTATCTACCACCGACGGCACTATCACCACCACCGCCGCCGCTGCTGCCACTCGATGTGCCACTCTACACCTTCCTCGTCTCTCGGTCAACTTTGGTACAGTGACTTGTCGTACATTGCTGTCGTCGACGAGCAGAGTTTAGGCTGCAACAGCCATGTACAGGCACACGTACCACCACGGGCACATCCTATCGACGGCACAGTTGCTGCTGCCACTCTTATCCTCCAGAGGATGAAGTGAGAAAGTGAGGCATTGAAGATGAAAAGGAAGGAGAAAAGGGTCCCTCAGTCGCTTAAATTGGGTAAAAAGTTGCTGACTTCCCAGCTTCCCAGATCATTTAATGGATCATGCTGAGCACATGCTTCGCTCAGAGCTAGAGACCACTACCGAAGGAAAAAAGAAAGAAAGAGGAGAACAGCGAATGAGCAAGAGAGCAGTAGTGAAGCACACTGTCGCCGAAGGAAAGCGAGAG